ACACACACACACACACACACACACACACACACACACACACACACACAGAGAGAGATATATAAAATAGCCATCAAAATGTCAACAAGATATGGACATTATTAAAAATTAAATACATAAACAAAAAAAAAAACTAAAAAAAAATAAACTTTCAACAACTATTCAGCTAAAAAAAAAAACTGGTGCTATTCAAATAAGCTACTCTGAAAATGCTGTGATATGTCAGAAAAACTGACTTAAATATTTAAAAGCCAGAAGATTTAAAACACACTAGCTTCTCCGTAAGGAATGTGTATGCCAACACTTTTCTCTATATCTAGTCTATATTTAAACTCTTAGATTCAATTTTTCAGAAGTTCCATAAGATGGAACTTGGAAGTAACAGTAGCAAACTAGGCCAGGCGCAGTGGCTCATACCTGTAATCCCAGCACTTTTGGGAGGCCAAGTTGGGCAGATCACTTGAGGTCAGGAGTTCGAGACCAGACTGGCCAACATGGCAAAACCCTGTCTCTACTAAAAATACAAAAATTAGCTGGGTGCGGCAGCATGCGCCTGTCACTCCAGCTAATCTGGAGGCTGACTCAGGAGAATCACTTGAACCCAGTAGGTGGAGGTTGCAGTGAGCCAAGATGGCGCCACTGTACTCCAGCCTGGGTGACAGAGCAAGACTCTGTCTCAAAAAAAAAAAAAAAAGGAGCAAACTAAAGGTAAAATCCAAGCTGAATATATGTTTGGCAAAGTACATTTTCCACTATGTAAACAGGGGCCTTACCCCGTACCGGCAGTCAACAGTCAGCACACACTCATCGGAAATCACCTCCTCTCAGCTGACATAAATATCACGGAATTCTGAACACTATGGAGACATCCCACAGGGCCAGCGGCACTTACCAGTGGAACTAGGCTGGTTGGGGTGTGGATTTGGCTTTGGTTTGGGTGGGTTCGGTGGTGCTGGGTCATCTGTTTGTGAAAGATGAGAGTGGCAATTGTAAGTGCCTTGCAGTAAAGAAAATGAAACAACAGTTTACGTAGAGATGGTTCCCTGAACAGAAACTGGACCTTGTCCTTTGTCCCGGCAGGGATACCTGTACACAGAGAGCCTCCTGCCAATTTCCTCCTCTCAACTTTGAGCCACGCTTCTTAATTTAAAGTAGCAAAGACTTGGAACCAACTCAAATGCCCATCAATGATACACTGGATAAAGAAAATATGACACATAGACACTGTGGAATACTATGCAGCCATAAAAAAGGATGAGTTCATGTCCTTTGCAGGGACATGGATGAAGCTAGAAACCATCATTCTCAGCAAAGTGACACAGGAACAGAAAATCAAACACCACATGTCCACTCAAAAGTGGGTGTTGATCAATGAGAACACATGGACATAAGGAGGGGAACATCACACACTGAGACCTGTTGGGGGTGTGGGGGGGATAGGGGAGGGATAGCAGGAGGTGGGTGGATTGGGGAGGGAGAGCAGGATTTGGGAGAATCGGGGAGGGATAACATTAGGAGAAATACCTAATGTAGATGACGGGGGGATGGATGCAGCAAACCACCATGGCACGTGTATACCTATGTAACGATCCTGCACGATCTGCACATGCACCCCAGAACTTAAAGTATAATTAAGAAAAAAAATGAAAGTGGCCTCCACACCACCTACAGAATTTCTGGGGCCAAAATAAAACTGCGGCACTCATTTTTCATATTCTATTAAGTATTCCAAGATAGCGGTCATATCAGTGAACCAATATGGCGCCCACGTGAAACCAATATGGCACAGGGTCCTGTGCCACTGCACGGGTCACATGCTCGTGAAGCCAGCCATGGCCAAGGCAGGCACATGTTGGAAATAGATGCTCAGTGCCACAAAGAAAAATGAGCACTGAGACAAAGGATTTTCAGCAATGCAATTTTTACTTCCTGGACTGCAGGAAGGGGACCCCTATCTTGCCACAAGAGTACAATGAACAAAGGAAAACACACACATTTATTCCCTATGCATTTGGGGGTCGTCCTTCCTCCTGTGTCTGATCTCCGCCGGCTGGAGCCAGACCTCAGTATCTAAACTAAAACCTGACTGGCTGACAACTTAAAACTAAAAACGGGTGAAAGCCACGGAGAGCTGGGACACGCCTGTGTGCACGTCCAGCACGGGTATCTCGGTGAAAGTACAGGACGTAGAATGTACTACGTGCCTGTGAGCACGGCGTGTCTAACAGCTGCATAGGAGGGGGCTTCCCAGAGAGTGATTAGCACACTTATTCTTCAACAAGAAAGGAAAGTTTAAAAAGGAACTTTTCTACTTCCCACAGCACATTCGTCTCATGTCCTTCTAAAGACTGTAAGAGTCTTAAAATACACGCACACACGCAGGTTGTCAGCAAAGTCCCAACGGCAACAGCAGAAACAAACCAACACAGCTATTCCCTAGGTTTCCACTGCGAAAACCTGTTCCCGCTATAATTTAAATGGGATAATTCTCTCCAAAACGATCATCATTTGGTGCTAATAAGCAGGTCAGCTACCAAGGAGACGAAAGGAGATACTCACTGTGTCCTCCACCACCAAGAGCATCCGTTAAGTCGAAGTCATCCCCTAAAAGACGGAAAAGAGGAGTTAACACCAAATTTCAGAGAGAAACCAGGAAGGAACCAGCTCATACACAGACCGAGAGAACGCCACAGCCCCATCTTCCTGAATACTTTTCTGAATGTCAGCTCGACCAGGATCTCATCAGAAAAAGTGAATTCCTGACCCTTTTTGCATCACTATTCTCTCAGATGAAAAGGGTTAAAAAATAAAGGTAGAGACAGAGAAAGAGCCCGGAGAGCGGCTCTCAGAGGAGGGGCGGGGGGGGGGGG